TAAATAAATAAATAAATAAATAAATAAATAAATAAATAAATAAATAAATAACATCACCGTGGGGAGGGGGGGCGATGATAACTTCCTCAATGGCTCAAGGGGGCGTTTTTTTCAAAAAGGTTAAGAACCACTGCTCTAGGCCATCTTGATATAGAACAACAATTCGTTTTTTTCAGATCCGCAGATAGTTCACTAACCACGAGTTGCCCTGTGGAACTTCCAGTGACCAGTCTGAGAGAGGGAGAGCGATAACACCTGCTCCCCCTTCACACCTGAGACTTGTGACACTAACGGGTCTCATGACACCAGGGAGGGAAAACGGCTACTTGGGCCCAATTTGGACATTGTCACTTAGGGGTGTACTCCCTTTCGTTGCCAGCGGTTTAGACATTAATGGCTGCGTGTTGCGTTATTTTGAGGGGACAGCACCTTTACACTGTTATACAAACAATGTTTTCACAAGACAGCGATTTTGACGGATTAACATCGTTTAGCGAGGCACCACTGTACTAAAATATTTATGAAATGTGAGGGGGTGTACTCACTTCTGTGATATACTGTATATTCTCAAGCTTCAGCCAGGCAGGCCTGACTTACACTGGTTTGTAAATCTGGCTTGCCTGAGGCCTATCTCTAAATGTTGCTCCCCCAACTGAGCAAGATGATCAGCATCGGTCTGCTCTGACTTAGAGTGGCTTCCCAGGGACTTAAGAGGTAGCACAAAATGCGTGCATACGTGAAGAGGACAACACGAATGGAACAAACGAATTGGAAGTCACCTGCTTTCCCCCCATGCAACCATCTGCCAGAAGGCGAAATCCCGATTAGGATTTGGGAGCTCAGGAGAGTGTGTGTTGGGGACAGGAAGGGTGGAATCGGTGCAAAATCAGTTTTTATTCAGCAAGAGAAAATGACATACAAAGGATTACAACTCATAGCCGAAAATGAGAGCACACATTCCATACCTTTCTCTAGGGTTAAACACATATTCTACACGGCCCGCCCCATCCCTCAGTCAAAAATCTATAAAAGTATTTATTCACATTATTTCAAAAGCTTGTCTTCTTTTCCCTATACCTTAACAAGTATTTTACAGATACATGCAGGCTCTGTCCTTACTGAGTGGTAGGTAAACCTGGAATCTGGGCTGTACAATTTCCAACTGCCTGCAAGCAATATTTTTTTCTATGAAAGCAGACACCACAGAAAAGCCAGCATCTCAGGAAGCAAGCCAGGCTAGAATCAAATCTGCTTCTGGAGTTTGCCTTTTCAAATAGCCACATGACTAAATTCTTCTTCATCTAGAAAATGTGTAAAATCCCCACCCACAGAAAATCAGGATGTCAAGAGAAAAAAAAACTATAGTGAGTTCCTCTTGAACTCACTCAGAGATGCACTACCTCCTGCTCTCTCCTCCTCACTCAGGAATTAGGGGAATTATAGTCCAGAAAAAATAACTCTCCCAGCCTTTGATATTTGTCTTCATGTGTGATTGTTCCAGAATTACTGTACCTGAAGTTGGCAGTCCTAAACTGGTGGATTTCTAAGTTGACCGAAATAAATTGACAATCAAAATAACCTCACACACGACACCAGAACACAGACAAAGAGTTCAAATTCCTGTCCTCTGAAGATGCCGGCCAGAGAGACTGGTGAAATCTTAGGAAGAAAAACCTCCAGAACACAGCCGAACAGCCCAAAAATCCTACAGCAACCAAACAAAATAACCCCTTGTAAGCTCGGAGAGGTGGTTGCCTCTCTGAATGAATCGCTGTTCTGCTTCCTACTATCACCAACATCTGGACATTTCTGCCATAGAGCTAAGCGAGATGCTTTGGAACCCTCTAAAGATGTTATGCAGGTACTCAAAGAAGGAGCTGGTTGGACCTTGAGTGAGTCAACCAGGCTTGCCCATCTTCCCATCGGTTGTTGGTGGGTCTGGGTTCACTTTTCCACATTTTTGCACCGGGCATAATGGAATAAATCAGGTCCTCCTGACTTGTACCACAAGATCTCTGCATGAGTCACTGAACTGGGCTCATCTCCTCTCCATCAGCTTCTTCTGGGACAGTCAGTCTCCTCCGTTCCTGCATCAGAACCCACTGGATTCAATTTCTCTAAAACAGAGAAGAACCACAGACCTTTCAAAGAAGGCTGTGTTGCTACTCCACAGAATTCACTGCTCTGAGCTAGGCTTAAACCCGGGGGTGGATATGCATGAGGGCAGATCGTTCATGCTGATACATACTTCCCCAGCGAAACTCTGGACAGGTAAACGTGTAACGCATCTCCAGTTTTTAATAAAGAAAACAAGTAGGCCACAGCTAACCACAGCTAACGGTTTGCTGCAAAGGTTAAAGCAGGGTGGATTTGGTTTAAATCGAACTGATTTAAATCATGATGTAAATGACAATTTAATTTAAAAAACACAGATTTTTTTTAACAATTTAAAACCATTAAAAAAAATTTAATCGTGATTTAAATCAGTGGTTCTTAACTTTTGTTACTCGGATGCTTTTGAACTGCAACTCCCAGAAACCCCAGTCAGGACAGCTGGTGGTGAAGGCTTCTGGGAGTTGCAGTCCAAAACTCCTGAGTAACCCAAGGTTAAGAACCAGTGATTTAAATCATTGATTTTTATCCACCCTGGAATAAGGTCAGCTTGGCCATTGGTACTAGAGTGGAACAGTCAGTCGACCCAATATGACCAACAAAGGGAAGCAATCTGCACTGTAAGCTCTTTTTTTTGCCCCAAAAAGATCAGCCACAGATTGCATAAAGTTGCTTCTTTACAGAAACAAATGTCTTAAAAGAACTGAACTAAAGAATGATAATAATAATAATAATGGTCCAGAAGAGGGCAACAAGGATGATCAGAGGACTGGAAACCGAGCCCTCTGAGGAAAGGCTGAAAAGGCTGGGCATGAGAAGACCCGAAGGGAGATAGGACAGCACTCTTCAAACAAAGTGTGAACAGATCCTCCCCCTGCTCTGTATGAGAATCATCATCCCAGGGGGTAGGATACGTAACAATGGATGCAAGTTACAGGAAGCCAGAACTTTGGTTGAAAAACTTCCTCACTGTTAGAGCAGTACGACAACAGAAGAAGTTACTTCAGGAGACGGTGAATATTCCACCACCGGAGGCATTCAAGAGAAAGTTAGACTACCATCTGCCAGATACAGTGGGGTCTTGCCTTGAGAACTTAATCCGTATTGGAAGGCGGTTCTCAAGTCAAAAAGTTCTCAGGTCAAATCGGCATTTCCCATAGGAATGCATTGAAAACCATTTGATCCGTATCTGCTCTTTTCCATCCATAGAAACTAATGGGAAGCTGCTATTCCACCTTCGACGACTAGAGGGGGATGTTCTCTTTCTTTATTTCTTAGGTCAAGAAAGGTTCAGGGAAGGCAGGGAAAATACAGTCTAGGCAGTACCAGGCAGTCTGAAGACTGTCTCCCAATCCACTCTCTAAACGCTGGGAGGAGTGAGGAAGCAGACAGGCACCCTTTTCACTGGCCAACAGTTCACATTTTGCACTTTCCCTGCCTCCCACGTGGTTTTTTTCAGTTCTTAACTCAAATCTAAGTATGTAAGTCAAGTCAATATTTTCCTAAGAGAGTGGTTCTTAAGTCAAAATGTTCTTAACTCGAGCCATTCTTAAGTCACAACCCCACTGTATCCTTTGATTTAGATTCCTGCAATCAGCAGGGAGCTCGACTCAAGGGCCTAATACAGACCCCATTCCAACTCCATGATTCTATGACTTTAAGAACATGTGAGGGCTTCCGGACCCCATATTGTGGACGGCCCACGTAGGTCGGCCGTAGCCAAACCCCACCTCCCATTAGCCCCAGCACAGTCTTGAAAAGGTACTTGAAAAGTATTCTGGGAATTGTAGGAACTTTTCCACGCTCCGGCCCTCAGTCAGGGATAGGAATTGCAATTCAAAAACACTGAGAAGGCTGCAGAGATGAGGATCCTGTCCCTTATAAGTTACACGGCTCCCCACAACCTTAAGCCGGCCACAATCTCTCAGTTTGGTCCGGCCTATTTACCTCACACGATGGTGGTGATGATGTAAGAGGGGGGCAAATAACCCCCCTTGAGGTCCACAGAGGACGTATCTTCTCCTCCTGGAAGGGCTTCCAGAGTTTCTTTCCTTGGCCCGTGGATTTTCTGGTGGCTTACGAGGTGCGTCCGACGGTTGAATCTCTTCCCGCAGTCAGGGCATCCGTAGGGTCTCTCGCCAGTGTGGATCCGTTGGTGGCTGATCAGGTTCGTGCTCCGGTTGAACTTCTTCCCGCAGTCGGAGCATTCGAACGGCTTCTCCCCGGTGTGGATCTTCTGGTGCATCTTCAGCCCCGACCGGCGGCCAAAGCTTTCCCCGCAATCCGAACAAGTGTACAGCTCGCGGGCTGTGTGGATGCTCCGATGCCTCACGAGGTGTTTGTTCCGACTGAAGCACTCGCCGCAGTCCAGGCACTTGAAGGTCTTTTCTCCCGTGTGGTTCTTCTGGTGCCGGATGTAGGTCGAGCGGTCGCAGAAGCTTTTGCTGCAGAGCAGACATTTGTACGGCTTCTCGCCCGTGTGGCTCCTCTGGTGGGTGATGAGGTGGTGGCTCTGACTGAAACTTTTCCCGCACTCGGTGCATTTGTAGGGCTTGTCGCCGGTGTGGAGCCGCTCGTGCCGAATCAGGCTCGATTTGTCGCAGAACTGCTTGGTGCAGGAGGAGCAGGCGTACGGCTTCTCCCCCGTGTGCATCCTCTGGTGAGAAATAAGGTTGGAGCTCCGGCTGAATCCCTTCCCGCAGTCCGAACACTTAAAGGGTTTCACGCCTGCGTGGATTTTGCTGTGGCTGTTGAGGTGTGAGCTCCGCCTGAAGTGTTTGCCGCAGTCGGAGCACTCGTAGGGCTTCTCCCGGCCGTGGATCCTGATATGCATGATGAAGCCGGCTCGGGAGATAAACTCCTTCCCGCAATCCGAGCATTCGTAGAGTTCCTCTCCTGTGTTGCTCTTCTGGTTCCTGTTGAGACTCTGGAATAGCCGATCGCTTGGCCTTTTCCCTTTGGCAACTATTTGCTGGGGGGCGGTTTCCTCCAAGCCACCCCCGAGATTAGTCGTGGAGTCACTCCTCAGCTCTTCCACTTCCTGGCCTTCAAGCCCCTTCAGCTCACCCTGTTTGGAAACAGATTCTTTCAACGCCTCCCTGTTTTCTGTTTCCGAAAGTGGCTTGTTGTTGTCATTCTGCCTTCCATCACCTGCTGGAATATAGGTAATAAATAATTATTCCCTGTGTTTGTTAACAGGAGTCTCGTGGAGCAATGGGTAAACTGAAGTATTGCAGCCAAAACACTGATCATGACCCAGGTTCAATTCCCGGCAGCTGGCTCAAGGTTCGCTCAGCCTTCCATCCCTCTAAGGTCAGTAAATCGAGTAGCTACCTTGCTGGGGGGGCAGGGGGGATGTGTACCCTGCATAATTAAATTATAAACCACCCAAAGAGTGCTTTATATGGGGCAGTATATAAGCAGCACTCTTTGCTTTTCATTTTTTTTAATAGTACCCAGTGTGGTGCAGTATATAGATTAACAGACTAAGAGATTATTGATTTATTTACTGATAATATTTATGTCGCCTTTCTCCTAAATGATCCAGGCAGCTCACAGTACTAAATGAGACAAAGATAAAAGCTAAATAACAAATTATTACAAAATTTAAAAAGCGTTAAAAATATATCATATAAAAACTCATACCTAAGAACAATAGTAGAAGCTCAAGTAGAACAACAGAATAAAATAACCCCTTAAAAATATCCATGGTCAACCAGTCATTTAAAGGGAAAGACTGCCTGAAGAGAAAGGCCTTCATCTGCTTACGGAAATACAGCAAAGATGGGGCCAGTCTGGCTTCCAGTGGGAGGGAGTTCCAGAGTCTGGAAGCAGCCACAGAAAAACCAACTTGGTGTTGGTGAGGAAAGCAGCAAGAGCTGGTAACTGGACAGAGTGGATTTTTTTTTAAAAAACTGGAAATCGCTCTCCCTCTCATGACCGGCTGCCTGACCCTTCTTCAATCTAAAATGTTAGGGATTAAATCGGAACCTCCAGCCAGCAAACCATGTGCTCACTGTCAACATGTCTATTGCACAAGTCATAGATACGTTGACCATGAAGCTGGTCGAGGATAAACTGAGTGTCCAGACACCACAGCTTCTAATCCTTACCCAGCACATTTGGGTCATCTTCCCCCTCTTGTTTGATCTCCCTGTAGAAGTGTCTGACGGTCATATCCAGAGATTCATCGTCTCTTGCTGAAAAGTTCACAGCAGCCTCCTCTTTCATTCCCAGCATCTGAAACCAATGGGAAATGTTAATGATTTACTTATTTATTATGTATTTTTTGTTGTTGCGTAGATCTGTCCAGTCACATGAAACTTATGGCAACCTAACAAGGTCTTCAAGGTTTATGAAGTATTTAAAGGGCGGTTTTATCAGTTGGCTGGATTGCTCAGTGAGATGGGACATCCGGCTGTGAAGCTGGAGACAGGAGTTCAATTCCCCACCGGGGCCTTATAGGAGAACACCAGCTTGTGTAGACCTAGGAAAGTTACACAGCACTAGAGCATCCTCAGAAGAAAGGAATGGTCAACCACCTTTGAGTCCTGTATACCTAGAAAATCCTGGACAGGGCCACCAAACTCAGAATACATGTGACAGCAATCTATTATTGTTATAATAATAATAATAATAATATAAACTACTACCATGTATAAGACGCCCCCCCACCACTTTTCTAACCCAAAATTAAGAAATCAAAGTGGGGCTTATCAAGTGTAGGGGGAAAGGGATCAAAGTGTTGCAGGATCGCTTTGATCCCTGCTTTTCCCTCCACTTGTTTTTGTTCTCTCCTCAGTTTACTTCCGTGTATAAGACGACCCTCAATTTTTAGTCTAAAGATTTTAGACAAAAGTATGGTCTTATACACTGAAAAATATGGGCATTTACCATAGTCACCCCCTCACTGAGTTACCATGGCCAAATGAGATTTTAGCCCACGTTTACTGAGTTACTCTATCCACTAAACACACTTGTTCCTTATTATGGATTAGGTGCACTTATATCTTGTTTTCATCCCAAGTCCCTTGAATAACGTCTTTCATGCTTCTGTCCGGACATTTGGTCAGTCATTCTGACCTACCTCACAGAGTTATTGTAAGGATAAAAAGAGGTGGAGAAAAGTCAGGCCTACCACCTTGATTGAGCAGAAGCTCAAGACAACATGGCTAGTAGGCAAGATGGGTGCGGGATGATGAAAGCGGTCATCCAAATAAACAGGTTTTCCAAGTTCTCTCTCAGTCCCATTGGGGGGGGAAGTTGGGGTAGCCATGTAAACAAGCAAGGAAGGATCAACATTTAGCCCTCCTGCCACGGTCAGATAAGCCCACCAGGACCCTACGACAGAAGAGGAACCGGCCAAACACCAGGGTGGAGTTGATTGAAATCCATTTAATTTAAATAAAATAAAATAAAATAATTAAAAAACTGTTCAGATAGCTCATGGGCCCATTTGAGTGTTCTCAACCCTTCCATTTCCATATTTACAATTGTATGAGGGATAGGTTAAGGGTGAAGATCTCCTGCAGGGTGTCTACTCTGCTCATGGAGGCCTGTTGTGCAATTTGAAGAATGTGAATAAAACAATGTAATTTTTTAAAAAATCAGAAATTTTTGACAATTAAATTTTTAAAACATAGTATATACTTTGATTTAAATACATTTGATTTTTTTAAAAAAAGAAAACATGGATTTTTTAATCCATCCCGCCAAACATCCTTCAAAACCGGACCCGGCCATTATCCTAAGAAAACACATCCCCACCTGCTGATCCTGTCTCTCCGCTTCACGCTGCCTGAGAAGAAAATGCTCGGCCAGGGCCACGGCGTGGAAGCAGCTCTCCGAATCGCGCTCCTGGATCCAACAGAGCATTTCCTGGGGCAGGATGGAGAGAAACTGCTCCAGGATCACCAGCTCCAGGATATCCTCTTTGGTATGCCTCTCTGGCATCAGCCACTGGTGGCAAAACTTCCGGAGTTGACAGTAAGCCTCCCAGGGGCCGTTCACCTCCTGGTAGCCAAAGTGCCGGAAGCGTCGGCGCTGGCGCTCCGAACTGAGAAGATCCAAGGCCTGATCCTCTCTCGGTCGTCTGTCACCCTTCTCGCATGCAAAGTTTAGGTCCTGAATCTCTGGGGCTGTTTTATGGATCCTTGGCCTCAGCCGACTTCCATTTTCTCCTCTCCTCCACAGGCGGGCGGCCTCGGCTCCTTCACAAACGTCCGGAGAAATCTCTGCCTCTTCCCTTAACATATTCTCTGGTAATAGCGGGTCCTCCTGTCCCAAAGGAGGAGACTGAGATACCTGTAGGAACTCCGGCCACTGATCCTCCCAGGAAGGACCCGCAGAGGCTTCCTGCTTAATGCGTCGTAGTGGTGCTGGTGGCGATCCTCGAGGAACCGTCTCCGCTGGGAGGGAGACCAGGCAGGACTCTTTGGTTCTCGGCAATTCGCTCTCGGTTTCCGGGTCTTGGCCTTCCATTTTGATTTCCGTCTTCACCTCCGGCTCTACAATAATCCTGCGAAGACACAGAGCTGAGAATTCCACCTCCTTCTCGGTAGCCATTTTATTTTTCTTAGCGACGATCCCAACTCCTCACTTCTACCCATCCATCGACCTTCCGTAGACTTAGGAGTGGGGGAAAAAATCTCTTGTTTTTTACTCAGTGGTGAGAGGCAAAGCACAGCGAGACGCCCCAGGATGCCCTCCGAGATGCTGCGTCTTCAGGAGGATCAGGTCAAGCTAGAGAGGATTCTGATGATCTTCTCCTACAGTTATTTTCCTAAAGAAAGGAGAGAGCAGTAACCAATAAGGCAATGAAAAGGACAGGAGCTGGGAATGCAGGACCCTGAAGGTATGGCTGGACATCAGTCAAGGGAACCCTAAGTCAGGGCCGGAGCCAGGCCAAGACTTTTTGCTCCCTGATGCAAACAAAAGGATGCCCGGAAGGAAAAAACAAGAAACCGTGCCTTCTCGGTGGGGGCCCCTCGGCTGTGGAACACCCTTCCAACCGAAATTCGGCTGGCGCCCTTGCTGGGTGTTTTTAAACGTCAGTTAAAAACTTGGCTATTCAAGCAGGCCTTCCCTCCGGTCAATTAAGTGATTTTCATCCTTCCCTTTTTTTTTTCCCCTTATGGTATGCCATCTTGGTAATGTCTTGGTCGTAATTAACTGTTATAATTGTAATTTTAATTGTAATTTTTAAGATGTTATTTATGTGATATTGTTGTCTTTTATTCGTAAGCCGCCCCGAGTAGACACAGTCTAGAGGGGCGGGGTAGAAATCTAATGAATGAATGAATGAATGAATGAATGAATTATAATAATTTGTGCCCCATCCCTTGGCCAGATTGGCATTTGAAGCTCATTTCGACACTGTTGATGGGTCAGCATTCCTGTTCGAGCAGTGCTTCCCAACCTTGGCTTTTGCGGATGTTCTTGGACTAAAACTCCCAGAAGCCTCCACCGCTAGCTGTACTAGCCAAGATTTTTGGGAGTTGTAGTCCAAGAACTTCCAGGGACCCAAGGCCGGGAGACACTGGTTTAGGCCGTTGACCAGAGTTCAAGAAAATGCTGAGGAAACACTTGTCCACCAGATCCTGCCATAATTAGACAACACAAGGCCAAACAGACCCGTGGCCGATCTCCAACAGGAGTTTCCCATTTTCATCTCTTTTACCTGACTAAATCTATGCAAATATGCAAAAGAAGCCAGTGTTCTCCAACCCTGTGACCTTCTATGTCGACCGGGAGTTCTGGACGTGTCCAAAGGATACCATCTTGGGGAATCCCACAAGAAGAAATTAACCTCTCTGTGCTTGGAGATGCTGGATCAACACGCCGGAAGAAGCTCTACCTCAGGCTAAGCCAGACAAGATGACGTTCATGCACTCTGTAATTTCGCCTGTTGGTTCCCTGTAGGTTTCCCTGAAGTAAAGAGTAGGTATAGGATTCCAGCAATGTAGGTCATTGCATGTGCGTTAGTTAGAAGGGTTTTAACCCTGTACTCCTCCACTACATTACTGTTCATTCTCTGCCCCCAGCACTTATTATATGGACTTGGAACTCCACACCTTGGGCAGGACATAAGATGGACTCCTTTCTTATGGACTCCTTTATTGGGCAGGACATAAGATGGACTGCATCTTACAGTGCAACATTGGTACTGTTGTTGTTCTGTGCTGTCACGTCGGGACCAACCTCTAGCTCCCTTAATTGGGTTTTCAAGGTAAGTGAGAGATTTAAGGAGTGCCTGTACCACTGCCACATAAGTTTCCATGGCTGAGTGGGGATTTGACCCCAGGCCTCCTGAATCCTAGGGACGTGGTGGCGCTGCGGGCTAAACCGCAGAAGCCTGTGCTGCAGGGTCAGAAGACCA